TATTATATTGTTTCTGACAGTGCAAGGTAGAGGGGGAAGAAGTCGACTGAAGAAGGCATGGATGGAGTGTGTGAATGACGATATGAGTGATAGAGGAGTGAGTGTTGAGATGACGGCTGGTAGAAGAGAATGTGAAGAGAAAAATTAGCTGTGCCGACCACATCTAGTGGGTTATGGTGAAGAAAAAGAAGATATTGTTTCTGACGTTTCCAAAATATTATAGTCTTCACGGTCACGGAAGACTAAAGTGTTATTTGTCGATTTAAATATTTTTCTATCTAACGTGTAATTTTCTATTAAAAAAAAACATTTCTGAACTTTTATGTTTCCTTTCACGTAGACCTAACTAGTAGCATCTTGAGTTCTGGCGGTTTGTTTTACTTGATTTGATATCTTTAAGTATTGTTTTAAAAAAAAATATATAAAATATTTACTGTAATCTCACCCAAAACAAATACATAGGTAACAAATTTTCAATTATCCAGCTATCGCACAACACTACTGAGCATCGATTCGCTTTGATTCCAAAGAGACGCTGAAGTGTTCTCGGCTCTTATCTCTAAAACTAATTACGACCATCGCCCTTTAAGAAATCAAAGAAGCCGTCCGCATGTATTTGAACATCTTTGATCACTTCTAAACCATTGATTAGGACTATATTATACCTTTAAACGAGTAATTCTTGTATATATATACATATATAATCTGAATCTCGGAAACGGCTCCAACGATTTTCATAAAATTTAGTATGCAGGGGATTTCGGGGGCGATAAATCGATCTAGCTACGATTTATTTTCATAAAATATTGTTTTATTCGTGTTTTCAATAATCGACGAAATGAAAATGAGGTTGTTCAGAGAGTGTTAACTATGAACGTGAAAGGATATAGAGTAAGAGGTAGACCTAAGAAGAAATGGATGGATTGTGTGAAAGACGATATGGGTAAGAGGGGAGTAAGCGAAGAAATGGTATATGATAGAAGAGTATGGAAGGAGAAAACATGTTGCGCCGACCCCAGGTGACTGGCAGAAGAGCAGGATAATGATGATGATGATGATTCGTGTTTTCAATAATCAACTCTTCCCGACATCTATTGGCGAATAATAATACTATTTTTCTTAATTGAGGGCAACTGACCGCTTTGAAGACACAACAAGATGGCGTTATCAAAAATCTCATCATCATCTAGTAATGAATTAAACGTATTCAAATATTGTTAAACCACAAGATTCGAGCTTGAGATTCGAACTTCACGCTAAACTACGTCCAATTAATATGCAAATGCCGTCTGCAATATCTCGAGCTCTACTTTGCTTTTAGTACTTAATGCTTTTCACCTTTAGCGTTTGTTAGTGCTATAAGTTCAGTCTAGACGTAATTCTGTACACCTGCCGCCTACATTTTTACGTCTGACTGTATGAATTTGTTTGAATGATTTTAGGAATTTTCATAATAGGCTCCTTGTAAGCAAGCAACTGTATAGTAAAAATATGTCATAATTAAAACTTATTTAAGGCTTATTCTTGCTTATTTTTCGTGTTCGTTATCACCACGGACGACAAAAACTGTTATAACACTCAAAACATCCGAAATAATAGAATGACAATGTAAAAGAAAAAAATAAAACTTAAAATTAAATCTTAAAAATAGATTTGTTTAGATTTAAGTTTAAGATAATCGAGAATCAAAAAGAATACCTATATATTTTATTTCCAAGTTTTTTTATTTATTTCATCAGGTAAACTAAACTTACCTGGTTTTTACTATTATCCGAAACCTCGCATCACAACCTGTATTTCGCCACTGAACCTGAGACTTACGGATCGTGGACGCAAGTGTACAGACTTCTTTACGACAAGAACTTTTGTTACTGGTGGTAGGACCTCTTGTGAGTCCGCGCGGGTAGGTACCACCACTCCGCCTATTTATGCCGTGAAGCAGTAATGCGTTTCGGTTTGAAGGGCGGGGGCAGCCGTTGTAACTATACTGAGACCTTAGAACTTATACCTCAAGGTGCGTGGCGCATTTACGTTGTAGATGTCTACGGGATCCAGTACCCACTGAACACCAAGTGGGCTGTGAGCTCGTCCACCCATCTAAGCAATAGAATAAAAAAAGAATAGCTAGATATTTCAAACGAACCCACTCAACAACAACAGGAATAAATGCCACTAAAACGTGTTAAAAAGACAAAGAGCAAACCTTCTAACGTGTAAATCTAACTCGGGCAATGAAATCGCTAATCAAATTAGTAGCAATCGTCTGGAAAGTTTCGAAGGCCTTCATTTATGACGCGAAAGAATACCCAAAGTAACAATAACAGTAATGTATTTTCAATTTGCAAGGTCCTAATATTTGGACTTTGATAGTTTTATCTTTTAAACGTGTTAGTATCGATGAACCAAAAATTCTTTATATAACTGCGTATATATCCTTTGGGACTACAATAATGTCCACGGTAGCGCGGTCTCCGTCAATGTTCCTTCGGAGTTGTCCGATTGCGCTGAACTTATTTTAAGTGAAATAGATGTTTTTTCAAATTGTCTCACTACTTACAGGAAAAATCTGTCACGGATCATCTCCCAATTAAATTAATCTTAAGCAATGAATGAAATGTATCCAAATCTTAGCTGTATATTTTATCTTTATTTTTGATGTTAATGCAATGTCGTTTGCACCTATAATTGAGGTGACATCTGCCATGAACTTTTGTCAATTTGTCAATGTTTTGTATTGATGATCACTTTGTTGGTGCAACTTATTAAATAAATAAATAAATATGACTGACCCGCCATCGTAGTATGGAGAGAAGCATGTTAAATGCTAAAAAAAGAAGGGATAAAATCAAATTAAAAGATATCCGTATGAAAACAAAACAAACGGATGTACCGTGAGTGATTTGTTCCTAATTATAATTATGTAGGTAGATGAATAATTAGTTTTAAACTGATTTATTTTTCATTTCAGGTAAGTTATTCAAATCGAGTGTACAACAGAATTTAAAGGGTAAAGAGTAGGTGAGTATAAAATAAAACAATTTGTTTGGCATTTTAAGCGTTTAATCTATATATATAAAAATGAATTGCTGTTCGTTAGTCTCGCTAAAACTCAAGAACGGCTGGACCAATTTGGCTAATTTTGGTCTTGAATTATTTGTAGAAGTCCAGAGAAGTTTTAAAAGGTAGATAAATATGAAAATGCTCTGAATTACATAAAAATAACAATTTTGTTTTCCCTTTGATGTGTCCCCCGTCGGACGGAACCCTTTTGTTTGTTTTAAGTTTATTTTATACAAACGTTTAAGTCTTTTATTTGTCGATTGAGGCACTACGAAGTCTGCCGGGTCAGCTAGTTTATAATACAATCTTAATATAGTTACAATGGCATTACTAGAATTTAAATTTTCTTTAGAAGGAGAAAATAATGAGTTGTAGTTAGTTCTGTTTCTAAACGAAAAATGAGACTTGATGTGTTAGGAATCATTTAAATGCTCGTATTATAAAAAAGTATTACTAATTAAAAAACATGAAGTCGTCGTGGCCTAAAGCATAAGACGTCCGGTGCATTCGTGTTGAGCGATACAACGGTGTTCGATTCTAATGAAATATGTATTTAACAAATGTTCACGATTGACTTCCACGGTGAACGAATAACATCGTGTGATAAAAATGAAACCCGCAAAATTATAATTTGCGTAATTACTGGTGGTAGGACCTCTTGTGAATCCGCGCGGTTAGGTTATTAGGGCCACCGCCCTGCCTATTTCTGCCGTGAAGCAGTAATGCGTTTCGGTTTGTAGGGTGGGGCAGCCGTTGTAACTATACTTGAGACCTTAGAACTTATATCTCAAGGTGGGTGGCGCATTTACGTTGTAGATGTATATGGGCTCCAGTAACCACTTAACACCGTGTAGACTGTGAACTCGTCCACCCATCTAAGCAAAAAAAAAAATTTTTTTTTTTTCATCCATGGACACGATTATATTTGAAACTTTAAAAAAAGTTATAATTTAATTATTACTATTAACTCATTAATTAATTAGTATTCTACTTTTATCATAATATTCCTATGTTTGTTTGGAAGTAAATATCAGGACGCGTCTTAAGACTTTAATTATTTTGTATAAGGTACCTACTTTTTTCAAAATTCCTTTAGCAATTTCTGCTAAATATCTGAAAATAAATAATCTAAGTGCTAAAAGGATTAATCTTTTAAATTTTGACGATAGTTTAGTAAAATATTCAAATAAGATTTAAACTTGCTTAAGTTGTGTTCACACCCAGAAGGGTGATTTAAATATGGTACTATGTAGTTTTTTTTTTCTATTTAAATTGAACGTTAATGTGTGTAAGTTTTAGCCGATCGTATGAACATAACAGATAAATACATAAGTAAAGATTTGGACAGCTTAGTCTTTCGGGAAAACTCTAAAGTATTTAGAGATTCGAAAATAATTAACGCGAAAACAATTTTATTCATAAAAGGAGTTTTAATTACATCTGCAGTAATTATGTATTTAATCAAAACTAGAGGTCCCACAGTAGTCGAAATTCGACTATAATTAATTGGGATTGTAAGTTTGTACACTATTATGATTGTATTTTATACTTCTATAATCACAAATTTCGCCAAGACTACACTATAAAAAATATTAACAAAGACAAACAATATTTAATCTATTCTCAATTTGACAACAGACGCCAAGAATAAAAGTTTGACAATAAATTGTATGCATGCGTGTGTGCGTCAAATACATGGTATGTAGTGTGTGTAATGTTTTCTTTATTGATTTAATGTATCTTTTATGCATTATTTAAAAAAAATATTAGCATTGTGCACTTCTTCTCTATATTCTCTATAAGTGTGGAAAATTTCATACTCCTCCGTCCGTGCAATTTTCATAAAAAGGGATACAAAGTTTTTGCTTCACGTATTAATATATAGATTATCGAAATAATAAATAAGATCTCGATAAATCTTGATTGTCTTCGTTACTGGCACAAGAAACACAAAATTGATGGAAAATACTTTTATTATATTCTAAAGTAACGAACCTTAAAATTAAAACAAAGTAACATTTCATTTGGTAATTTTGTTTGGATAAAGTATTTTTATTTTTGTTGTGCGCAGTTTTCTTACAACATAAAAAAAAATGTAATCTCTTATCTAATTATATAGTTTTAAATAAGACTTAAATAACTCTTAAGAGAGATCGTTCTTAGCGATAATACCAACAAATGTACTTTTTATTGTATTTAATGTATCGCTTTGTTTTTTTTTGGTGTATGATAAAGAATACTCTCTCTCTCTCTATCTTTCTCTAAATAATGATTCAGACTGGATGTGCCCATCCGCGCGGGTCTGCTGTCCGCCTTAGAATCATTTACTACCCAAAACTGACACCAACGCATCGCTTGACACGAGTAAATCTAGGCGGCCACGACTCTATGTACTGCGTATTAGATAAATTAAATTTAACAATTACAGTTACGTCTCCATAACCAGTTAGGCAATTAGCACCATCGGACTGAACAGCCACGTCAGTATTCTACATATATAAAAGTCGATGTAAGGATGTTTGTTTACTATAAATCCCGAAACAGATGGACTGATCACAATGAACCTTTCAATAAGTCTTGAGATCAGCCTGGGGGGTTATCTTGCGGAGTTTGGTAGTGAACGGATCAAAGCCTAATCAAAGACCGGCTAACAAAGGGTTTGAAAGTATTTGTTATACAAAGAGCTGCTTGTCACATCAATGAATTATTTCATTCGACCGGTGCTTATAATCAGGAAATCGAAACAAAGAAGCGTCTTTCAGATTTAGGATTTCCTTAAGGTCAACATCGCGCGGAGGGCATTTAAGAAATGACGTCATCGAATACCTCAAGTGACGGAATAATTAAATTGAAGAATATTGCATAGGTAAATCGGTTGGTTCTCTTTCACTTTTAAATATAGTCGGTTTGGCCGAGATTCGGCTACGCGCGGCAATCGATAACAAACAAACAATCAGTCTCGAATAAGTACTAAAACATTAAGAAAAACAGTTGACTTAGCGTAACAAACAGAGCTACTCCGAGAAGGCTGTTAGCCCCGGAGACAGGTCTTGGCGGAACGTAATATCTCTCGTAGGTCGAATTCCAGAATGTCATCCTGGTCGTGTGCGGGTTGACCCTGGCTTCTTCGACGTAGGCCACAGAGCCAGTCCCATCGTTTCCTCCGTAGTAGAGGTAATTCAAATTGGCTTTGTCGACTGCGGACCAAACCACATTCGCAGCGGCCGAGTTTGCTGGCTCTCTGTAATTTCAATGGTTTTAATTTTGAGAATCGCAGAGCAATACATTTTTTTTTGTTGCTTTGATGGGTGGACGAGCTCACAGCCCACCGGGTTTTAAGTGGTTACTGGAGCCCATAGACATCTACAACGTAAATGCGCCACCCACCTTGAGATATAAGTTCTAAGGTCTCAGTATAGTTACAGCGGCTGCCCCACCCTTCAAACCGAAACGCATTACTGCTTCACGGCAGAAATAGGCAGGGCGGTGGTACCTACCCGTGCGGACTCACAAGAGGTCCTACCACCAGTAAAACTAACATTATCTATCTATCTAATATATTCCTAAAGGAACTTAATATCTCTCGAAGGTTGTCGTCAACAGTCCAGGATTCTCCAATATTTTGGACACGTATCGCGACGGCCAGCAGAGTCTATCGAAAATTTTTTTTCAGACTAGGGTCAACGGTGATAGACCCCGTGGACCCCACGCGCGGGATTTATCAAGTGAAAACTCTTACCAAAACCCCACTTAACGAATGCGTGCGTCAAAAGTCTCTGTTCGCAAATTATGGAGTACAGCTGTCAAGGCCGTAAACTAAAACAATGATTCCACTTGACCACTACTGCTCTGCCTACAGTAACTGACTATGATGATCATGATGATCACACAGCCTATTTTATCATTAATGTCATTAAACTGTCATAATGAGAATTCTTGAAAACCGATACCCATATAAATATTATAGATATACCGATTTTCGAGAATTTTAACGATGGCAGTTTCGTAACAATGTATTTTATATACTGGTCGTAATTAGAACGTTCTCGAAGTCGAAAAATAAACATTTTTCTAATGCGTCAGCTCATTTTGTAAACGAGTTACATTGCTGATTGCCTCTAATTGAATAAATATCAGAACATTATAATAATAATTCTTTGAATGTATTTTTTTTTTGGATTACAAAATGGTTGTTTTACATACGCGTCTCATTTAATAGATTGATTGGAAACCTTGTAGGAGAGAAGTGGGCAATTCAGAGAATATTTCGACTACGGGATCAATAGATTAAGATAGGCGATTATATCGTTTCAAACACGGAGGAGCGTGGCTGGATTAGAATTCCGTAAAATCAATTATTAGGGTGTACATACACTGTTGATCGAAAACAGACGCTTAATAACGATTATGCAAAATAGTCGTCAATGTGACACGTCCCTAAAGACTTTAGGATCGCGTGTATATTAAAACAGTTGTTTTTCTCCTCAACATTGCTTCAGAAACTTCTAAAACTATATAATTAAATTACTCACCCGGTGTGTGCAAATCTTGTTAGACGTCTCACAAGAGAGTTCATCGCTTGAACGTCTGAAGGTCGCAAGTCATAGTCGAAGAGGTAGTTCAGAAATCCACCGTGCTTTACTCCGTGCAGGGGGATCTGGTTGAAGGGCCAATCGGAGTTCAGTGTTCCTCTGTAGCCGAATTCTAATAGTCTCACAGGACTCGTGGAAGTTACTCCCCGTTCCCTAGCCGTTCTTATCACGGCCAATAAAATAAGTGTATCGCCCTGGTAGTCTAAATAGTCCTCGATGGTTCCCATGTCAATCGTTCTATCGCCAAAGTAAAATCTCTTTATATCTTGAACGGCAGTTGCGTTGCCGTTCGTATCTAAATCCACTGGAAGGAAATTTGTGAAATTCGCTTCCATACCCTCGAGCCATCTATTAAAGACAACTTCGGAAGCCCTCAACGTGCCCTCTCTAGTCGTGAAACCGGCGATGTAAGGAACGTGATTGTAATTCCCGGAACGCAAAATGTTCAATGGCGCATCTGTTATGATTGTCTCATTAGGATCATTATTTTGACTCTCGATGCAAGGCGCGAATATGAGGCTGTTGTTTGTGAATTTGAATTCTTCTAGCGCAGTAGCAAGTACGTTTGGATTCGTAGTCTGAAGAAGTTTTGCCAATTGCTCCCTAGATTTCTGTGTGATTCCCAACACCCCACCAAATACTTCGGCGTAGCGTACAGGCTCATATGCTACTGCCCACGGTGATAGAGCAGATCCGCTCAGTGCAATAGCTTTGTGGACGAGGTTCTTGGATCTCGGAGACATGGTCAACAGATCTACTAGCGCTGCGCCCGAACCATGACCAATAAGCACAATATTGTTAGGGTCTCCGCCGAATCCAGCGATGTTGCTTTTCAGCCAGGTCAGACCTTGGAGGATGTCTTTGAGACCAGCGTTGCCTGGTGCATCGGGAACACCGAGGCAAATGAAACCGAAGATTGACAAACGGAAGTTCAGAGGCACGAAAACTATGTTCTCTTCGACGATTTTCTTGTAGCTGAACACTGGTGTGGTGGTGGAGGCGTATTGTTCAGCGTTGAGCCAAACGAAAACCGGTTTGGGTGTGGTCGTATTTTTCGTGTATATGCTGAGTGTCAGACAGTTCTCTACTCCAATAAGGCCCCGGGCGTTGGGCTGGGCGCACAAAATATTCCGATTGACGGCATGATACACTCCAGAGTAGTTCGTTGGCGGACTAGGAGCCTGTAAAATTGAATGTGTTAATTATTAAAATAAGGATCAAAAATAAATCGCCTTTATCAATAGATGGTTACCGATATTGTTTCTTCTAAAGTAGATTAAATTTGGAATGAATCATGATTCGTGTTACTCTAACATACAAATATGTACCCATGTGATATAGCTTTACCTATAGTATTAGTATAATAACAGGTATATTACATGATTCGTGTCATTCTGACATACCACTATATAACATCAATATGTAATATGGTAAGTCTTCCAAAATTATATTATCAATGGCGTGTTTATCAGGAGAAGATGGATTTAAGGATATAACCGTCTATTTGGCGAACGTCTGATTGTATATTGTAAAGTTTTGTTTTTGTCTGTATCTGCAAAAAACAGCAAATAAGTAATCCGTGTGGGCTTACAATACGCCTAAAGATGGCGTCCACCCAAATTTTGTAAAATTAAGTTGCATTTTAATAATACATATTCAAATTTATTAAACAATCCGTTTCCAAAAACAACCTAAGTTTTTTTTTTATCGTTTCCTAATGCTGCTAATGGATAGTAGAGTATGAATCGATATATTGTTCATTTTGATGACGTCATAAATCGATTACTTTAATGACAGATGATCTCAGTGTTCACTTGGTTTTCGATAATTACCGGAGTTCGTCTCTACATCTACACCGATAGAGTAGGATTTGTTTATATACTGATGTAAGTAGAGATTGCAACTCTACTGAGTGAAACCCGTCTTAAATATATATTTTTTTCTGCTATAAGCAACGTAGCTCAGAGATATGATTAAATGTAGATGAAATATGATTGTTTTAATTGGATTGTGTAAAGGCTACTCCACCCAGCAGCCGGTCTACTGGGTGGGCTGCACCGTACTGCTTCGCGGCAGAAATGTCCAACTTATTAAGCAAATTTATTTATTAAACACGACAGGTAACCTTCCTATAACACGATAGATACGTTCCTACAAAGTCCCGTGTTGTGCAAAACCGTGTTATACGAGACCTGTGTGCTTAGTGCGAGTTTTTTAACGTTCTCGATAGCGTAAAAGTTAACTCAAATTTTTATCCAGTTTGCCTACGTTTGCCGTTAGGGGCGCTATTTATAGTTCATTCGGGAAGTCATTAAGTACATACATCATTATAGGAAATGGTATTATTGGCTTTGGCGATTCGAACATCGCATCTTTAGGATGTTTTTAATCCTTCCGTCTTGCAAGATTAATGTCATATTACGAAATATTGAAATGTTTGGTGACGAACTTCTAGCCAAACACTATTTGATTCAGTGCACATACCGCTGGGCCGCCATTAAGCTTAAAGATAAAAACACGATAGCAGGACTACCACGCCTTACTTATAACAACAATATCACATTTATCTACGTCCGATGATGCCAGCTCTACAGTTTTTGCTGTAGATTTAATATTTGTACAAGATATTGTTTCGAATCATTCATTTAATTCATCGTATAGAGCGCGAAAAAGAAAAATGCCCCTAACAACTAAATAGAAAAATGAAAAGTTACGAAAAATCGATATTTCGTATTATATATCATAGGTCTAAGGACTAATCGATTCAAAAAAAAAACGAAAACATTTAGTTATGTTTATTTTATTTCTATTTTTTTTACTCATAAATTGTGTTTGTATTTTGCCAACAAAAAAAAAACAAAACCAGGAAATAAATTGGAAAAAAAATTACTTGTTACTTGAGTTTTTGAGCTGACAACACTGTAAACGTCTAACATTCAACAGGCGTATAATATATTATGACAGTTGTATAGTTTCTTACCTTGAATCTGTTCTCTCCAGATGTTGGACCGGCGTATGGTATATCGTAGAAAGTCAAATAATCTCCGTCAGCCGCTCTGCTGCCTTCCACCGTACCCTCGGTGGTGTTCACTTGAAGACTATCTTGAGCGGACGTGAACGACACGAACGCGATTAGTAAAACAAACATTTTGAAAATTTTCCTCATGTTTTTTTCTTTTTGAACGCGACGCACGTGCTGCGCCTACGCCGGTCGCTCGGCGAATGAATGACTCTATAGTTTTGTAATCTTTAGCATTTATCGAACGATAAATTTCGACTGTTATCATTGAGGTTGCCTTTTTAAGTGCGACTGCTTTTGACAATTCCGAAGGTGACGTCACTTTCTCTTATCTATATATTAATACGTGAATCAAAAACTTTGTATCCCTTTTTACGTAAATTGCGCGGACGGAGGAGTATAAAATTTTCCACACTTATAGAGAATATAGAGAAGAAGTGCACAATGCTAATATTTTTTTTAAATAATGCATAAAAGATACATTAAATCAATAAAGAAAACATTACACACACTACTTACCATGTATTTGACGCACACACGCATGCATACTATTTATTGTCAAACTTTTGTTCTTGACGTCTGTTGTCAAATTGAGAATAGAATATGGTTTGTCTTTGTTAATATTTTTTAAAGTGTAGTCTTGGCGAAATTTGTGATTATAGAAGTATAAAATACAATCATAATAGTGTACAAACTTACAATTCCAATTAATTATAGTCGGATTTCGACTACTGCGGGACCTCTAGTTTAATGAAATTCGTAATTAGTTACCGTAATTTCGATTCTGCATTACTTTATCCACTCCTATACCAATTCCTGAGGAATCATAGTTTGTCGGAAACTGTCTTTATCTTAATATGCTATCCTTTTACAGTTTTATTTTATTTCATTGCATGTATGGATGGACGAGCTCACAGCCCACCTAGTGTTAAGTGGTGACCAGAGCCCATAGATATCTACAACGTAAATGCCGCCCATCCACCTTGAGATATGAGTTCTAAGGTCTCAGTATAGTTACAACGGCTGCCCCCGCCTTACAAGCCGAAATGCCTTACTGCTTCACGGCAGAAATAAACAGGGTGGTGGTACGTACCCGGGCGGATTCGCAAGATGTCCTACCACCAGTCAAAGATATATTGTCATTTGCCTGATCTACATGAGCGTGTTTATAATATGCACACGGAATTCGCGTAACCCCGGCCCGCAATTGTAACTAGGACCCTTAGACATAACGAACTATGAGAAATAATAATAACAACGTCATGCGGCCCTAAATTAGAGCTCGCTGTGTCATGGGTACCAGAGACTCACATACATACATAAATACGTATAAATACGTACATATGTAAATAATAAACACCCAGACAAAGTTCCAACAAGCCTGTTCATCACAGCGTTTCCACGATGTGAGAATCGAACCCACGACCCTCCACGCAACAATCAGGGCCGCTAATTACCGCACCACCGAATCAGTCAAAAGAAATAAGCTCAAAGCCCCAATTCTAATAAAGGCTGTACCGCCTATCAAACTGAATCGCATTACGAAAGCGATAGATCTCTGGCCTACCAGTAAAACAATTTCCCTCCGTGCGTTGTAATCCTCAGTGCTGAGGGTCGTGAAATTTACGGAGCACTTTTATTAGAACTATGTTCCTCCATTCATTCCTGTCCTCCGCGCAGTGGATAACGACATTGATGCTGGATTCCAAAGTCGTGATAATCTGATCGGACCAGCGCATGGGACTACGCTCTCTAGGCCTCTTTCCTTCCACTTTGCCGATGATGAGAAGTATTTCGAGATTGTCATCCTTTTTCCTCGCAACGTGACCGAAAAACTCTAAAACAATCTACTAACAGAAAAGTTAAAGACTAGGAATTGAAAAATACGTGCTTCAATCTCGGATCAGCGCTCCCAAGACCACGGTCCACAAACCGTGTATAACGTGTTACTAGCTTAGTTTATGAGCGAGCTTGCTCGGTTTTTTTTTTTTTGATAACGCCATCTTGTTTAAAGCAGTTAGTTGCTCTCAATTAAGAAAGATAGTATTATTATTCGCCAATAGATGCCGGGAAGAGTCATAAAGTTGATTATCGATAAAGTTGATTATTGAAAACACGAATAAAACAACATTTTCTGAAAATAAATCGTAGCTAGATCGATTCCGATCGATTCGATCGCCCCCGAAATCCTCTGTATACTAAATTTTATGAAAATCGTTGGAGCCGTTTCCGAGATTCAGATTATATCAATATGTATATACAATAATTGCTCGTTTAAAGGTATAAGATCCAGGAGTCGGAATTGAGTCTGCTACGTACTTCTGTTGCGTCATCAACACGATAAAGGTCACTCGAGGTCAATCTCACGTCAAAACGACACCATTAATTAAATTTAGTAGAGACCGTCCGATGGAGTCACAGTAATTGAGTTTCTGTTTTTAATAGACCGTGAAAAAATACGGTCGTAATACTGGAGGCATGGTTCGTTCGTTTTGTGCCACGCGCTTCTTTAATTCTAATATCCGATAGGTTTTGACACTGCCCAATTGAAAAATAGTGTTCTTGACCGTTTTGTTTAATTTGACACTAAGGGATAATACTCGGAAAATCTATACTAATATTATTATAAAGCTGAAGAGTTTGTTTGTTTGAACGCGCTAATCTCAGGAACTACTCGTCCGATTTGACTCTTTCAGTGTTAGATAGCCCATTTATTGAGGAAGGCTATAGGCTATATAACATCACGGTAATATATATTTTTTACTTTTAGCCATTCTTAACTATAATACTAAATTGTGTGTTTTCATGTGTATTTATATATTATTACTTTACATGTATATTATATTGTGTGTAATTATGTGTATGTATGTATTTTACTATTTTATACATAGGTATATTGAATTGTAGTATGTGTATTCTATAACACTGAGATGTTATTTTAAGGAAGATTTTTGTTTTGAGTTTGTTCTTTTTTTTTTGTTTTGTTGTTGTTTGTTATTCTTTTGTCAATGCACCTACCATGCATTATCTCTGCACCACCCTATGGTCGACTGGAAGAGAATGCCCATGGCATTAAGTCCCCCTGTGTACAAGTTTTGTTTTGTGCATAAAGTATAAATAAATAAATAAATAATTCCAATACAAGTGGAGCGCCAATAAAGAATGTTTCAAAATAGGGGTTTCAATAGCTCCTTAACATTATATAATTCAAAAATATTTTCACTTTCTACATAAATGATGTTGGAGGTAAAATTTAGCCTTATGCCAAAGTACCTATTCCACGCGGACGGAGTCGCGGGCAAAAGCTAGTTACTAATACTGCGCTGGCGCTATGACCCCAAGGGGAGTTTTGGCCTCCTTATGCTGGCCCTTACGGCGTATAGGGAGTGTCCCCCGGGTTGCGGATGAGGTAATGGTCGGTACTGCTGCCTAGCTAGTTGCCGGCTAAGTTTAATAGGCTCGCTGATCAAAGTAAAGTGTGGTCCTCCTGAATTTTGTGGGTAGTGCCAGGGACCGACAACCCATGTAGCTCGCGTTCAACACATTCACACGTTGCGCTTGTGTAGTGTTTGTGAATAAGCGCGTGGCGTGACGTCGCACTGCATGCGCACCATTAAAAGTCTGCCCATCTCTCTCTCGCGCTGTCTAGCTTATGAGTGTGAAGGGGAAAGTTAATGTTTTGCTTTCGTTAACGTTTACAAATATAGCGTGGTCTTATTTTATTATTGTTTTAATATTAAATTATTATTGTCTAATTATAATTACTTTAGTTGATAAAAATTCCATGCAATAGCTTTACCGCGGCAGTCCCCGAGTGCCACACGTATTTTTTTTTGTTTGTTTTTTTATTGCTTAGCTGGTTGGATGAGCTCACGGTTCACCTGGTGTTCAGTGGTTACCGCAACCCATAAACATCTAAAAAGTAAATGCCGCCACCCACCTGGAGACATGAGTTCTAAGGTCTCAGTGTTTACAGTACAATGTCTGCCTTACCCTTCAAACCGAAACGCATTACTGCTTCACGGTTGCAATAGGCAGATTAGTGGTACCTACCCGTACATACTCACAAGACGTCCGACCACCATTAATAAAATTTACGTAAATTGTCATAAATTAATGTAAATTACGTCAGTGATTAAATTGATTATGAAGTAGCACTAATGCGCAATCATTGGTCTGTATAACTGTCCCCCTGGTGCTGCTGACGTTCATGAGCCCCGGTGATCACTCACTCTTAGATGGGCCGTATGCTAGTACCTGTAGAGGCAATATAAAAATATAAACGTAGGTACATATGTAGTTTATTTTGAAAATGTGAGTTAGCAAATGCTATAAACGGAATTCACAAAAATAAACTCAGCAAATTATAAATTCCGTTGATGTTTTCATAAATCAGAAACCGCACACAAGCGTTATTCTCGTCTGAGGAAAACTGCTCTGAATTACTCTCACATCGCGCCTAAAGAAACTCACTTCAAAAAATAAATGTTTCCGATCTTGATTTCGTCGGAAAAATGAAGTGGACACCCGGGAAAATTAGCAATTCAAAGTGAGTGAGCAATTTCCGTAATTTCAGAACGTTTATATAATGATTAATTTATGAGGAATAATTATTAAGATAAGGCCTATGGATGGTAATAAGTTTTTTTAAATAATAAAGAACTTGGAACAAATCACGCACGGCCATCGGGCTTTAATTAGCCTCAATTATTTAATCTTTTTACTGGTGGTAGGACCTCTTGTGAGTCTGCGCGAGTAGATACCACCACCCTGCATATGTCTACCGTGAAGCAGTAATGCGTTTCGGTTCGAAGGGTGGGGCAGCCGCTGTAACTATACTTGAGACCTTAGAACTGGTATCTCAAGATGGGTGGCGCATTTACGTTGTAATGTCTATGGGCTCCAGTAACCACTTAACACCAGGTGGGCTGTGAGCTGATCCACCCATCTAAGCAATAAAAAAAAAAGTATTAAACTCAAAATAAATTGTTACTTATTCGACCCAGTTGGCTTTGATCCAGACCTTGTTGGCTTCCAGTCCCGAGCAGATGTCACTTTGTATCTGAAAGTTTAATTTAAAATGGTCGTATACAGGAGAAAGAATCTTTCGAAACACACTTTGAATTTGAATTCAAATTTTAAAAGGAAATGCTTTAGTTTATAATTCTTTTGAAATGTTCGTTGCTTGGACGAGAGCTCCGGTGTATTCTTATTGAGTTAGACGAGCCTGTTTGAGATCCCGGGGCAGGTGTATTTTATCTATA